TGCCTTCCTCCCTGCACGTACTTTACCCATCTCTTTTAATCTTTTTGTTTATTTAATAAAAATAATTATAAATTAATAATAAAAAATTATAATTATAAAATATAAAATTTAATTAAAATGTATAATTATTTTTTTTAAAAAAAAATAAATTATGTGAGATGATCGTAAATGAAAAATATAAATATTTTAGGCGGGCGAATGGAGTATTAAGATTATAGGTAGTATTTATTTAATTTTAATGTAAACTTAAATAAATGTTACTCTTTTCAACTCAAAATATTTAATTTCTTATTATTTTTGTTTATGTCGCTCAAAAGTATTATTTTTTTATTTTAATAAAAATAATTATATATTAATACTAAAATATTTTTAATTTTTATTTAAATTAAAAATATACAATTAATTTATATATAAAGTTAAAAAAACAAAAATATTTAAAAATCTCTTATATACATTTTCGCCGATTTATAAAATACTAATATTATTTTTTAATTTACTAAAAAAATCGAAAAAAATTCATTTGAATTGAAACAAAGAGACTAGATTTTAATATTAATCGATGAATATTTTTTTAGATATCTAAATTATTTTATCTTTATATTTTGATTTAATTTAATGATAATTAATATAAATACATGTGAGGTTAAGATACTTATTATATGTAACAGAAATAAAATTATTAAAATATACTCCATTCGTCCAGCTACAAAGTATACGTATTTCTATTTTGGGACGTCTAATTACAAAGTAAACATTTCATTAAATATCTTACTTTTTTTCACAAATACATTTACTTTATATCATATCATTACTTTTATATCAAAAAGCAAGAGCAAAAATGTCATTACACTACTTTAACTACCCAATATAATTAAAATACTATTATTTCTTAAATACTGCGCCAAAAGTAATTGTATACTTTATCCGTGGACGGCGTATTATATATGTATACTATTGAAAATTGTATATATACACCTTAAAAGCAAATCCGGAAGTGTTATTTATTATTATTATTTTGAAAAATATTTATATCCTATATCTCCTAAATAATTTTTGCGTGTGTATATATATATTTCCAATTTATTTACCACAAATAGTTACATAATGATTGTTTCCCGCAAAATCAAATTGCATTATTTGTTTTTTTTATCGGATCGGATTGTTCCTTCTGATATATCATTTTTGTCGGGCAATAATTTTTTTTTTACCTCTTTAAGAATCTTATTAGTTAATCCACAAAATGTATAAATATAACGATTCGATAACTTAGAGAGAATTTATATAGTCGTTAGATTGAGATTAAGAATGGATCTTATATAATTGTTGGTTTTAATTGATAGTTCGATTTTTGTGGTAGGTCTATGGAAATTGAACAACAATACCTATAAATATCTATTAACTTGTGACACTTTTTACCAACATGGTCAAGATTTAGTAGGAGAATGTGATAAAGGAAATAAAGTTGAAAATTTTAAAGAGGGAACAACTATAAGACATTGTGGTAGTTATATATCAAAATTTTATTTAATATTGTTATAAATTAAAATAGTAAGAAGAAAGAGTGAGACATATATATTGAAGAAGAACCTAATTAAAGTTGATGTTGTAGGCTAAGGAAGATACATTTTTATTTTTTATTTTTATTATTTTTTTTTTATCATTAAAAGATATATATGCCTCTTAGGGGATTATCGAATCGGTATGTTGACTTGTGTTCTGAGGTCATGTATCCAAAATCTTCCGATGTCCTATTAATCTTATATTTCGTATATGATTTGTCTAGTGTCCTTAATGTTGCTAGTGTATACATTTGCAAGGTTTTTTTTTTTTTTTTTTTATTGTGGATTTTTTCGGAGCACACTCGAATTATGTTGAGATGGATCATACTGAATTATGTTGAATCCCTTAAATATAATACATTAATTTACACCATTAAATTATATAATTGATATAATTAAAAGAATATTATAATTTAAGATATTCAACATATTTTAGCAAGATCCAATTCAACATCCAATCCATACGGAAGAAAAATAATCGTTTTCTTTGATATAATTAGAAACTTAATAAGGGATTATATATGTGCACACACACCATCTAGATTCAATGAATTTATTAGGTAGAAATATTTTATATATATATATATATATTACTTCACGTATAAAAAAATACTTCTCAAAACTAGTAGTGTAGTGTACTCAACTTTAAAAATGACAAGTGATTCAAGATTTTTTTTTTTTTTTTTTTTTTTTTTTTTTGTTTTTGTTTTTTAGTTTTAGTTTTGTTAAAAATAATAGTTTCATTTTGGTAAGAGAATTTTTTTTTTTTTTTAATTACAAAATGTAAAAATCAAATGGTAAAAACCCTAAGGGGCTGTTTCGTTCGTGGATACGGTGGGATTCCATGAGATTTGGATTTTAAAATTCTAATGAATCATGTTTGGTTATAAAATTGATAATAAAATTTTAAGTGCATGAGATTTTAAAATCCTGCATATTTTTCGGTAACAGTATACTTCTATTACTTTAAAATTCCATGTTATTGTATTTTTTATTTTACTATTATACCCTCCCATAAAATCTTTTCCTTTTTAATATTAAATGTATATAAATATATATTTACGTTTAAATTATATTTTATTGGTTTTATAAAATATAATATTATATTTAAGCATACAACTACAAACATAAATTTATTTATAAAAATGTTATATATATTTAATTCTTTTACTAATGATAAGTTAAATAAATTAATAATTTAAAATATCAATTAATAATTTAAATTTATTTTAATGGTGTACTTATTTTGTATTTTTAGTTTAAATTATTTTTTTATATTAAATATGAAAAAGAATGTCGATAGTATAAAAAATAATTAAATTATTGTATTTTTTAGTCTATAAATTATATATTACAGTGTATATTTTGTATGAATATATATATATATATTATATCATTTATTATTAATCGAAAATCGTATTAAAATTTTTTTATTAGAATACACTAAATTTAGTAAAAAATAAAGTTTACGGAAAAAAAAAATGTAAAGTTTAATTTATCACAATAAATAAAACCCGTGGAAGGATAATTACGTCATTTAAAATATCAAAAATCAAAATCCTTGAACCAAACACCCCAACCAAACGCATGATAGAATTCCAAATCTAAATACAATAATTCTATCACGTATAAATCCTACCGTAAAATCTCAATCCCATCAAAAAGTTCTTGAACCAAACAGCTCCTAAGAAAAATCTAAGCATGAGTAATTTCTTAAAGATCCTTTAGAATCTCATTTACTTACGGAAGAACTGAATATTATATCTTAAGGACTTTAACAATGTCTATCTTATCGATAATAAGTTGTAGAAATTATAGAAAAAAGGAATATTTGGATTAAAACTTTGAATTGATATAGGTGAGAGATACATGTCATGAGACACATTTTAAGCTTAAAAATTAATATGATCCCAATAGAAAACCGAACAATGAATGATTTACCATAACCTTTGAAACACATATACGATGTTGAACTTAACATGCACTACTAGGAAATTATGGGATTGTCGCGGAATGATCTATTGTCACAATTTTTACTGAAAATTTTTTTAAAAAATTACATATAAATTAATTATTGCGGACTTCCGCAACAATCCTTGTTACAATAATTAATTTTTTTCTATTTGTCACGGAAGGCCGCAACAAACAAGAAATAAATTTATTGTTTCCAATTTTTTTTCAACTTCCTGCGACAAAATAACTTTTTTCTAATAATAATGAGCTATGATATAGATTTGATGCAAGAAAAAATGTGCTTCTACATTTTTTCTAAAATTGTTACTTCACAGAGATGTTAGAGCTATATATATATAGCTTAAATTGGTCTTGAATAGTAAAAATGAAAGGCTTATCCCTGCCATTGTCATTAATAAATGAAAAGTAAAAGACGCAATTAGTCGTCTAATTAATACTATCTCCGTTCGGCGTTAAGGGTCCAATTTACTTTTTATGTCATTGTACTTAATATTAAAAATTTACTTTTGTATAATTTCTTACAAAAATATCATTATAATAGTATTATAAGACACTAATATAAGTAGTTTTGTCATTTTTTCTTAATTTGTATTACGTTATCATATAATAATTAATATTCAAATATCAACACGTAAAAAGTAAATTAAACACTTAGAGTCAGACGAAGGTAGTGTAATAGAATGTAAAATTTGATGTAATTTTTTTTTTTCTTTTACAAAATTTTTACCAAACATTATTTTAATATTGAATTCAAACAAATTTTTCTCAAACTAACACATCCATGTATACTAGTATGAGGTTTTAACATCTACTTTCTTATGTACAATGTAACTTCTTTCTCAAAAAAGAGTTATATTGATATGCCTTGAATCTAGTTTGCTATTTTACTGAGTTTTTACAGGCATCTTGCTACCTGGTTAGTGAGTCGGGGGTCGAGAAGGGCGAAGTCCCCCTTGCCTTCTGGGGGCGCGGAGTGGCCCCGGTCCGATGGTATGCAGTATTGGGCTTTGGAGTTGTAGCTAACACGTTGTTGGTGAACTACGTAAATATATTTCTTTTTTACATTTATGTTTCTGTTTGTTATTCGATCTCTAATCCTAATCCGTCAAAACAAGTTCATATAACAACAAATTTATCTTTTCGTAACTGGTCTCTCTTATCATTGCAGTTTCGTAATTGATACTTGTATAAAAATCGTCCCGTAAGCAAATTTTTTTTAAGACAATTTATCTTCCAACCTAGAAATACGCACGTGGCACCCGTCTGATAAGCACGAGCACACAAAGTTATAATTCAAAGTTCAAGTTCGAAAAACACAACATTAGGCTCGAATAACAACTTGAAGGTCCGGTCACCGCGGTGCATTGCATTTCCGAAAAAAATTTCATTAAATGCGCAACTGTGAGAGCTTTCCGAGTAGAAACACTAGGGAAAAAGGAGAAGTGAAAACGACTAAAATGGCGATACTGGAGAGAAGAAACCACAAGTGTCATTGATTCATCGTCACCACATTTTAGTCATGTTCTTATTTTTATGTTCCATTGTCGTCCTAATCCCATCACCATTACACAACTTTTCCTCGACTCGACTCAGACATCTCTCATTCTTCATTGTACATTCCCCACCTTCCTTGCTATACAAAATTGATCCCCTTCTTCTTATTAGCTGTTGTTCTTCAGCTCACTTCAGTTCAGTTCAATTCAATTCAGTTATTGGGAATAGATTTGATCGATGGATGGATGGCTGGGTTGCATTGAGAAAGCAGTTCAGGGTGAATCAGTCCCATTGATGAGAGCAGCAGCACCATGACAGGGTGGGAGCTTGCTCATCAGAGAACAATATTCCATTGCAGCAGCTTTCTTCCCCGAAGAAACTGTGTTCCTCCTCCATCTTCACGAACTGCGGCTCATACGCCTTCTGCGAATCCTCCAGGACGTTTTCATCCCCACCCAAGCTGCTGACCAATCTGTTACTATTGTTGCTGTTGAGCACCTGGTGATGGAGAATCCCTTCGCTTATGGCAGCCATGGCCATGGGGCTGCTGCTGTCCTCATTCAGAATTGCACTCGAATCACTGTCGGAAAATCCATCGCGGCTACCATGGGGCTTTGCCTCTTCTTTGATTATTGCTGCTGCTCTCCCATCGTCTCCATTGTTCATCTTTGATTTGAGCTCTTCGATCTGCAGACAATTTTGATTTCTTGAAGATCGATTGATTTTGGGAATCGGTTAAATTTGTTGTATGAATTGATGAACTAGCAAACCTGGTTGAGTAAAGATTGGTTGTCCCTTTGGAGGGCTTGGAATTTGTGCAAAAGGGAATCGTGGCTGGCCTTGAGGGCGGCGTAGTCGCGCTCCAGCTGCTTCGTCTTCCACCGTGCGCGGCGGTTCTGGAACCAAACCGCCACCTGCCGGGGCTGCAATCCGAGCTCCTCCGCGAGCTTAACTTTCCTCTCCGGCTCCAGCTTATTCTCCACCTCGAAATTCTTCTCCAATGCCCTGACTTGATCCACGCTCAGCCTCCTTTTCTTCTCCGAAACATGTCCCAATTCTTCATCATCCATACCTTCCATGGTCATCGTCTTCCCATCCTCTGCAACAACATTTCAGGCCCAGCAAAACCATAACAATATTAAAGAAAACAGATGGTTGGATCGAAAAATTTTAGTCTTGATTTATGAGTGGAATATAAGAAATTAAAAAATAATAGGGAAGCTAGGGACAGGAAAACATGATGAATGAATGAAAGCTTGAATCTTGATTCTTGGGGAGCATTAAAGCTTGAAGAAAAAAGCTATGGAAGAATATATATATATATATATGTATATATATGTATGTTATGATTGTTTAGATTCGATTTGAAGCACCTGTAGACATGGGACAAATGGAGGACATCAAAGCACCCACAGAATCAGAGCTGTTCAGTCTCTTCATTCTTGATTGACGATGATGATGATGATGAATCCACAGCACGAGTTTAGAACCAACACAACACTACCCACTCTATCTCTATCTCTACTTCTATCTCTATCTCTAACTCTATGCTATAGATCTCTCTCACACTCACATCTAACGAGTAACAACCACTACCCCAAGCTCTCACATGTTTTATGAAGGGGAGATCGGATCGATCAGTGACTCACTGGTTTTATTCAAGAACAGGGCACAGTTTTGTATGCATCTATCTATCTAATTATACATGATTGTGCAGTGTAGACTTTTTCACTGTCTGGGTATTCACTACACCCTTTTTTAATCATTTCCTGCTCCACACATCCAAAACAAAACCGAAATTCACAACCCAAAAACAGCAAAATTAAAAAAAAATTAAAATTTAGAGAGAGAGAGAGAGAAAGAGAGAGAGAAGTTGAGAAAGAGAAGCCAACAGCAATAGCAGTAGAAGAAGCAAGAAATCAACAGAAGAAGTTAATTAGGCAGGAGGGTCTTCAAAGTTTCTTCACATGATTACTCAATCAAACCCAAAGAAGCAGCAGAAGGGTTGGGGGGGTTGCCTAAAGATTTATGAGAAATGGGGTGGGGGTGGGGGTGGGGGATGGATGGATGATGAGACAGAGCAGTGTGAGTATGGACATCCAGCTGTCCTTGAACAATTTCTTCATTACTGCTCTTTAAATAAAACCCAAGTGGAAGGGCATGTCTCTCTCTCTCTCTCTCTCTTCTCGCTCTCTCGCTCTCAAAGTATGGTTAAATATGTTACTTGGGTTAGGGTATATGTGTATGTTTGCATGTATGTATGGATGGATGCAACAGGCACAAATGAACTGAAATGAACCCCAAATGCAGGGGAAATGAAATGCAGGTCTGTCGGTGTACCGGCTCAGCCGGTGGCTTTCGGACCGTTCCTTGGAGCGGCGCGGCGCGGCTGGAGTGGAGCCGTTAGAGATTCGAGTGGCGTCAGCGGATCGTTGGAGTTGGGGTGGGTGCCTGTGTGGACTTGTGTAGCTGCTCTGCACTGCACTATGCACACGTGCCCACTCTTTTTACTTGTTAATATTAAACTTTTGGTTTTCTTTTTTTTTTTTTTAATTTTGAAATTTTTTATTTAAATTTAATATTAAAATAATATTTGATTAGATCTTTTATAAAAAAAAATTTATATATTTTTTTAAAAAAATATTTTGTGACTAAGGAACATAATCCAAGTCCAACCAGACGACCTCCCTCCACATCATTATTATTATTATTGTTAGTATTTGTTGTTCTTATTATGAATGCATTTTTATCATAAAAAATTGTTTAGGATGCTAATTTTTTTCATGGTATTTTATAATAAAAATAATTATTTATCACTATTAAAATATTAATTTTTATATGAATTACAAACATACGAGTATGCATATATATACATATTAAGTACAAAAAAAATTATTAAAATCATTTTATACATTTTTAATAAGTAATAAAAATAATATTATATCTTAATCTACTTAAAAAAAATTTAAAATGACCTATTGAAGTGAGAGGGAGGACGCGTTCATTTTATACTCCCTCTGTTCCAATACAATAGTCATATTTACAATTTTTGTTGTCCCAAAATAATAGTTTCGTTTTCATAAATAACCATAAAGGTAAAAATCTTTTACTCGTACTTTTTTACTCACTATTAATATAATATTAATATTTCTTAAATCTTGTGTCAAACACAACCCAAATTATAATTTTGGGACGGAAGGAGTATTATTTATAAGTAATTCATCTACAAATACCAAAATATCCCACTTTTATAAAATATTCATTTTTTATATTTATAAGAGTTAAAATATTAAAATTATTTAGATGATATAAAAAATAATATTTTATATTAAATTATTTTTTTATATAAATAAATAAAATATATTTTATTAATGTGTATATATTTTATTTTTTTAAATAGTGAACAGATTTGCGGAAAAAACAAAAAAAGAAAACCATGTTTTTTTAGAGAATTACAATAATCTAGTATTAAGAAAGAAAGAAAAAATAAAGCGTTATATATATTATCATATCTTTATAAGATAAATAACATCACGAGAAGTTCTTGTTGCGCCAAAAAAAAAAAAAAATCGTTAAAAATATGCACCCAAAATGAAAACAATTCAAAGAAATTTTAAATATTTTGAATACTTATTTGATTTAATACAAATATATTGATGTGATATTTTGATGTGATATTTTGAATATAAAATTATTTTTTTAAATAAAAAATAATAATAATTATTTAATTATTTTTTTTTAAAAAAAATAAAAATTAAATAGTTAAAATATTATGAAAAATAAACTTTATCATTTATTAATTTCTTTCCCTTAAGAATATAAAATTAAAATACTATTTCTTAAAACTATATTACATTCAAAATTAATTTTAGATTTAAAATATAACCTTTTAACACTATTGCAAATTTTGGCCCATCGTGATCTAATCCCAATTCGTCTCTTTTTGCGAGTCATTTCGGTGAGAATTCAAAGTTCTTTCTTTCGTTTTTAGTTGTTTTGGATGGGTGTCAAAACGATCGAGCTCCTCTTGAGGTTACCATAGTCATTTTACACCTTGGTTTGGTCTGAGCCGAACATTGTCGTCCCTTTCACCAGAGAAAGAAGCTTCGGAAAAGAATGTCTTCGGTTGGTTCTGCCCGGAGCTTCTAGACACCGATCGGATTGCGAGAAAAAATATTTCATCACCAGTTGGATGCTGGAGCTGTCCGCCGGAATTGGCCGCTGCCGGAGCGGAGCAGCCGCTACTGTCGGCCTGAAATTGCCTTCGTGTATCATCACCATTGATCTTCAGTTTCATTGTTTAATCGATCTTCTTGACTGGAATTGGAAGTGTACATGTTTCTCAGCATCAGAGTCAAAACTAGAGACAAACATGGTGTGTACTTTGCCTTTCATTTAATTGTGTTATGTGTTTTTTTTGTTGGTTATTATGTTTTCAATCTTGTGTTAGCCTTTTTGTCTATTTTTTAGTGTTAATTTTAATTTCAGTTCGATATTATTAATTTAGTTATAACATAGAGTTCACTTTGCCTTTTATTATATTTGGCGCACCGAGATAGTAATTTTTTCAGAAAATCAAGAAAAATATTTTTTCTTAAGTCTTTTAACAAATTATTCATTTTTTTTATTTTATTTTGTCTCATAACAAAATATTTATTTATTTTTTTTAGTAATTGTACAGTCTATCTAATATTACAAAGACTCTGGCAAATTATAATATCTTATATCCCAATATAATACCAATATTTTTAAAATTTCGTGCAAAAAAAACAAACAGATACATAGAGATGAGACGAATAGAATATATAGAAATGCAAAAATTTGGTGATCTAGTTCGATCAAAATGATTTACGTCTAAGGGCAGCCAAACCAGATATTTGTATTATTAATTTTAGGATACAAGTTACAAAGAGAATGAACCACCCATCCAGACGAAATGGCAAACAAATCAAACCTAGTTCGAACTTAGGCTTCACAACATATCATCAGAGGACTACACCATATGAGTGTTGTTGAACAGTATTTAGAATTATGATATCTCCTTATATGTTGCAACTCAATTATATTGGACTAGTGGATTTAATTTGTTTGTCGGGCTTTAGTTTCAAATTTAGTTTTGTATACGTTTATTATTTGGGTCATGTATGAGTAAATCGAAAAATGCAAAAAATATTTAATTTCGCGCTGCTAGAATTAAATTATGTTTCAGATTAGACGATGAAGAAAAAATATAGAGAAAATGATGTGAACGCTCTCTCATATATATATATATATATATAAGCCGTCAAGTTATTTTGGGATCGAATGACCGATGGAAAATCAGCACTATTCAACACGTACTATTTTCCGCCGTTGTTGAATAATAATGTCGTCATCGTTATTACATAATCAACATCACAAATCATCGAATTTGAGTGTCGTGTCAATAGAGGCCTAATATTTTCCACCAAGCAGCTCCAACCAATGCCCATATCACTAAGTTAATTAGGGCTATTGCTAAACCCAATGGGAAGAGGTCTCGAAGCTCGACATAACCGGCTGTAACGAACACAAAAAAATAAAAAAAAAATAAAAAAAAAAAACATGAGAGAGATAGAGTTATAAATATGTATATTCATTCATATTGAGAATACATAATTAAATAAGGATGAAAAAAGACATCTAATTTGGAAAATAAGTTAGAATTAAGGATGAAGAAACAGAGAGGAAGAATATAATTAATTTGATTCATTTAATTTTCATAATTAAGTTTGGAATATGAAAATGGGAAAAATGCATTTTTAATCCTAACACATATGCTAGCTATAAAATTAATCACATAAAAAATTATCGCATTTCAAACAAATTCATGCAAAATTAATCCTTATATGACAATTTACAAATTTAATAGAATTTGCTGATGCGAACATTACGAATGCCTACGAGGTTTCAAACACACTACTTTCTTCATAAAAGTTTCTCAAATTTTATTTTTTGTACTCTATATTTTTAGAAAAAAAAATACATATTTTTATCTCATAAAATATATCATCAAATATTATTTTAATATAAAATTTAAATCAAATTTTTTCAAACTAAACCCAAACACATATATTTCATTTAAAAAAAAAAAAGATACCGATATACTTTCACGAATATCTTAGGAATACAATCATATATGTTAGGAATACAACAAGAAAGCATACCTCTGTATCATAGAAACATGATCATGTTTTTCAATACACAAGAAAAAACATAGCTATGTTACGTAATACACGATTGTGAATCCTACGAACACAACCCAAAAACATAATCACTTGTCCTTATATTTCAGATATTAAAAAAAAAAATAATAAACCACATTTTTTAATATACAATAGTGTTTTGAATATGTCCTTATATTTCAAAAATAAATTATATTAGTAATATACAATCGTGTATCTCAAAGATAATTAAACTCTTTAATACACGACTATATATCTAAAAAGCAAGACTATATTTCAGACACACACAACCATGTTACTTAATTCACAACCGTGCTTCTGAGATACACGGCCGTGTACTAAGCAATATGACTGTATCCTAAAATATTCGGGCTTATATAAGGACATGTTTGATACCACATAGACTCATATAACGGCAACATCATCAAAATTCATTAAAATTGTAACATAAAGATTAAAATTGTACTCTTTCCGCCCGAACTTAATTATTCATATTACTATAAATACAAAAATTTAGGTAAAATATAATTAATGAGTAATTATAATAAAAATAATTATAATTTAATCTTAACATAACTAAATAATCTAATTAAAATTAACAAAATTATAAATGATGAAATTTAAACTAATATTAAAGTGTATAATCATATTTTTTTTAAAAAAAATGACAAATCGCGTAAGATAGACTGAAATAGAAAAAGTGACCATTTTATGTAGGACGGACGGAAAATATATATATATATTATACTCTCTCCATCCTAATACAACAGTCTTGTTTACTATTTTTTTCCGTCCTAAAACAATAGTCTTATTTTCATAAATAACTAACCCTATTTTTTCATTTTTATTACACAATTGTCACTACTTTTTTACACTAATACACTTACAAGGACAAAAAAGTCTTTTACCTATATTTTTTTATCAACTATCAATATAATATTAATACTCTTTAAATCTCGTGTCCAACCCAATTAAAACTATAGTTTTAAGAAGGAGGGAGTATATAATTATTTTCTTAATGAAAAAATGATAAAGTGAATTAAGAAGTTATGGAAGAGAAAAGTAACCTCCATAGTAGACAGCAGCTTGGCCACTGCTGTAATGAGTGATGCAGCCAAAAAGATTTGTGTTGTATGCCAAAGCCAAAGCAGCCAACAGTTTAGGGACTCCAGAGGACAATTGCATCGAAAGAAATGCCGAGTAGAGTGCGCCGACGTGCGCGGTTTGGCTGGCGAACAGGTAATGGATGAAGAAATAGGATAGTTGGAGGAGAGAAAATGTGCCGAATGTGCTAAGGGAAAGATGCTTGAGCAAGTCTGAGACGCATCCGGACAGCCATGGCACAACGCCGAGAACATTTAATTCTGTGGCCATGCCGATTAGGATTGCGAACCAGGTGAGGGTGTCCCAAGCTTGTTTGTCGCTCAGACAGTCATTCCAATCGAGGACGCCGCAGAGGAGAAGTATCGACAAACCTACCATTGCTGTGACAACATTTGCCATGTTCAAAGCCTCCCTGCAAGTGCAAGAACAAGACAATTAATTCGTATGGACAAGCTTCGGGTGTGTTCTTTTAACAAAAACATACCTACACGTATAATATGTCACGTATATTCATTATTTTTATATTCTCTACATAATTTCTTATACTTCACATCAAAAAAATTTTCTTCAAATTATCTCACAAAACAAATACGCCCTTCACCTTTCATTGCAATTTTTGAATTAGATTTTGCTAAAATTCTCATATGGATTCAAAGGGTATGATTTTTATTTATTTTTTAAATATTTAATATTTTATTATGTTTATTTTAAAATATATGTGTATATATATTTGACATTGTTTTGCATAATGAAATAACTATTGAATCTTGAAACATCAAAATTTTGTGCTTATTGAGTCAAATTGACACCATGCTGATTTGAGTCGATAAATACATATGATATATAATATATATTTTCTATTTGTATCATGTACATCTATATTAATTGAGTCAAATCAATATCAGGTTGATTTGATTCAATTAGTAGGGATTTGCGTCCCCTAAACAAAATACTAAGACAAATAAATTGGAGTTTTTGACGAAATTGTCAATAATAAATTGGAGATTTTGAGGAAATTGTCAATTTAATATCGTGTTTGTTATTATTATTATGATTATTATTGTTGTTGTTGTATGTTTCTTCAATAATTTTTTAATCTTTTACATCGGAAAAAAAAAAAAAAATCCCTTTAAATGCCTACCAAGAAAAAAATTCAAAAAATAAAAATTGAAATTGAAAATAAAAAAAGATTTTTGTGTGTGAATGTAGAAGGAGGAGGAAAAAATTATTTGACAAGATAGCGATTTTTTGCATGTGAATGTGAAGGCCATATGACTATACACATATATTGCAACCAAAATAATCAAAAATCATAGTACATTAATATTATATCCAACATGGGGTGGCCTAGTGAGGTTAGATTTAGACATATTTGGACCCATGACCTCGTATGGTTCATCAAATGTAATTTTTCTTACAAATATGTAATAATGTACTCCCTTCTCAAACAATGTGCAACATTTACTTTTGGCACGAATTTTTAGGTGGGTAGTAGTAAATAAGATAATTTAGAAATTAGGTGAAGTAATGGAGAGAGAAATATATATTTTATTTTTTTATTTGGATGATGTAAGAGGATAAAGTGTGGGGTAGAAATTAAGTATAATCAGTTATTTCCTATTTTGGAAATATTGCAGGGACATGCCAAAAAGAAAATGTTGTAGAATGTTTGGGAGGGAGGGAGTAATATATATATATATACACACACGTGTGGGCAGTAATCGACCTCAACTCTTAAAAATATGAGTATTTTTAAGTATAAAAATGATAAAATTATATGTATTTGCATTAATTTGCCTTCTAACTTTTTTAAAAAAAATTTAAGAAATAATTAATATTTTGTAGTTTTGTTAATTTGAACTTCTATTTTTTATTTATTTTTATTTTAGAAAAAAAAAATATTAACTTTTATATAGTTCTATTAAATTTTTTAAAAAATATTTAATTTTTACTCATTTTTTCTTCTTTTTCTTTAAAGAAATAGAAAAAAAACAACAATGAAGCAAGTTTTACTGTTAGCTCAATCACTATATATATATATATATATTTAAAAGATAAAATTAATAATCAAGAGGTTATTATTCGAACTTACCCGGCAACCCACAAGCCAACAGTCAAGAGCAAAGTTCCGATCATAATCCACTCTTCTCTTTTAATCGCGCCCATCTGCTCCAGCCTCTGTTTCGCCATAGCCGGAGCCTCCGGAGTGGTCCTCAGCTTAGGAGGATATATTTTGTACAAGAGAAACGGCGTCGACAAAAGGGAGATGCCGGCCGGTATACATGATGCCTTAAGCCAAGTCACCCATTGGTGTTTGATTTCGACGCCGAGGCTCTCGGCTAACTTGATGCACAGCAGATTTTGAGCCGCAGCCGTAATAAAAAATGCGCCCGAACTATTGCTACTCTGGATGAGGACAATTGATCGTAGCAGAAAAATTTATTTGATAAATTATGCTGGCAAGAAAAATTAAAAGATAAAAATAAACTTTCGAATAGACAAGATGAATCTTTTTTTTCTTTTTTTTTTTTTTTTTGAATGATTTAAATGGCTCATGAGCTTGATATTTGGCAATGAAATAAAATTTCAATGGCTAATATCTACTCTATTTTTGGTCGTGTAAGTTGCTTTATTTGTTTTTTAAGTCATCTTCAAATATATTTGAACTTTGGGGGGTGTAGGTTTTTTTAAAGAGTAAATTATATAACATTCCTTTATGTTTTTAGTAAAAATGCACAAAATACTTTGTGTTTTATTTATTACGTGAAACTTCTTATGTTAATGTAAAGTTTGCACGAAATATCCTATTTGTCCAAAACTGATATTGGGTTCTAATTAAAAATATAAATTACGCAAGTTTTATACAAATAAAAAATACAAAATATCTTATATAATTTTTTTTTGAATAAAATAAATAAATAATAATTGATTAATCCTTATTTTATAGTTTTTTTTAAACAAATTGTTATCTGATTTTTATAAAAACTATAAAAATAAATAATTGATCAATTATTTATTTATACACAATATATGTATGAATTTATTCCTAATAGCCTATAAATATAAAGTGATCGTTGTCACACTATTATTGAATTATTCTACTAGACCTACAGTCCTTCCAACGTTCATAATTTAGCATCTTGGCACATTGGCACATGCATACGCACAAATAGTCCAATCCAAATCTTTTTGTAATAATAATACTCCCTCCGTCCTAAGTAATTTGGCCGTATTACCGTAGACATATGTATTTAGGTAAAATATAATTTAGTAAGAAATTAAAAAGTGTATTAGTAAAAATAATTATTGTATAGTAAAAATAATTATAGATTAAGATTAGGATAACTAAATACAATTTAGATTTAAAAAAATTATAAAATATAAAGTTTAAAATGTAATTAAAGTGTATAATTATATTTTCAAAAAAGAAAAAGATAATTTATGTGGGACGAACGAAAATAGAAAATAGGGACCAATTATATGGGAAGGAGGGAGTAATATCATGCAACACATGCATTTTATCCATTTTTTACAGCTACGCCTAATTAAATTTATTTTTACTTTTATTATTCTTATGTCGAATTTATTCTATTATTATATTTGAAAAAGTAAAAAAATCTATATTTAATTATTACTTTTATCCGGTACTTATTTATCACAAATGGCACAAATTTTATTGTATCTTTTTACTTCATTTTTTTAATTACTAATTACATTTTAAAAAATATTTTCAACAATTTTTTTTTTACTTTTTTTAATTTTTTCAATAAAATATATAGTGTTTGTTTTGGGGATTTTACCTCAGATCCACTATTCATCCAATTTTTTTCCCCCAAAAACATCAAATCAAACTCTTATTTTTTATTTTTTATATTATACTAAAAATCAATTTTACATTCATAACATCACACCAACATCTATTTATATCACATCATACCACTATTCTAATTCAAAATTTTTACTATTTAAATCTCAACTTAAAATCCAAACCCCCAAACAAACACACCTAAGTATGGTGGACGGAGAAAATAGTATTTTCATAATATTGATTTACTGCATTCTTTTCAACTAAATAGTTTTACTTTTCATTTAAGGGTGTGCTTGTTTGGGGGTTTGGACTTTGACTTGTGATTTAAATAGTAAAAATTTTGAATTTGAATAGTTGTATAATGTGATATAAATAGGTCTTGATGTGATGTTTTGAATATAAAATTGATTTTTTAGTATAATATAAAAAAATAAAAAATAGGTGTTTGATTTGATATTTTTGAGGGAAAAAAATGGGATAAATAGTGGATTTAAAATCCAATCTCCCAAACAAACTCACCCTTAAAGTTATTTCATCTCAATATAGTTACTTTCCTTTTATAATTTATGTGGCCTCTATTTAATTATTAATTTACTCCATTCTTAACTATCTATATATTTATCAAAATATACTCGCTATATATAAATCTAAGGACATTATTGATTTTTTCATCTTACACAAACTTATTCATAGATATAATATTATTATTTTTTAATTTATTATAAAATTTCTTTTGAGAGTATTTAGGTGGCACAAAATTACTATATTATTTAATTGTATTAAATGCCTTTATTCTATTTTGATAGAAAATATCAACACTCGCATAGTTCTAATGATTGACTGATACGTTTTTAAAGTTATATTATTTAATTTAATAAGTAAAAATGTAGTAAACTTATCCTAAAATTGCAGAAGAATTTAAAATAATTAATACGTTTTTAGAAGGCAAGAATTTAAAATAATTTAATTTAGGTTTGTTTGGTTGTGTTTCTTAAAGTTTTGGAAATAAAAAAAAAATAAAATTAGAATTAAAAGCTATTTCATATGCCATAAATAGATATTTAAAGTATGTTTAATATATTTTGGAAATATTTTTGGATTATGGAAAGTTCTTGAAATGGTAAAAAAAAAAAAAAGAAAAAAAAAAAGAGGTAATTAAAAAGATGGATAGTCGATGTGATATAGTGTAAAAAACAGAAATGACAATTTAATATAATACTTTAAATGAAAAAATATATATTTAAAATAAATATATCATGTGATGATTTTGATTTTGGATAATAGTGAAAATGATGTTGTAACACACAATTAAAATAAAATAAAAAGGAATAGATGTATGCTATATTTTTTGTTGGTTATATTTATGTGACAAATTAGATTCTCTTCTTGTTCAAATTCATATTCATACTCATTTTCCTTTCACTTTTAGACTGTTATAAAAAAAAAAAAACAAAAAATGTATTATAATTTTTTATGTAAAAAATCATATTATTATTTATAATTTTATAAAAAATAGAAAAAAGTATATATCACTTATTATCTATTCTTATTAAAGTATATACTCGATCAAACATCTGATCATACAATTGGATAGTAGAACAAGTAGTTGTTAATAATATTTTGGATTTAAAATAGATATTGAAAGCAATTTTCTTTTAAAAAAATATATATATTAAAAAAGAAAGACAAAATTTTTTTAAAAAAAAAAAAAAACATCCACCCCTACTTTTTCTCCACTCTTTTGTCTTCTCCTTCTTACTTCCTCCGTCATCGAATTGTGTACTTATTTTATGGGACACCAAATTGGGTACTTATTTTATGGGACAGAGTTTTAAAAAAATAGATAAAAATAAAATTTTTACCTTTTCTGGTAAGGAAAAAATAGAAAAGATGGTATTTTGTTACTAAAAAATTGAGAACAAATTTAAATGACAACTAAAAAAAAAAAATGAGAATAGATTTAAATGACGAAAAAGGTAATGTGATAATGGATCCTACACTAAATTTAATATTTTTTGAATACCTACAAAATTAATATTTTTTGATTTACTTTATTACATAATATAAGTAATATAATTGTGGATGTGTTCGTTTGGGGGTTTGATTTCTGAATTGAGATTTAATAGTAAAAATTTTTAATTTGAATAGTTAGTACCAATAAACGAAAATTCCCTGGCTCAAATTCTTACACATTTTCGCCAGACAAACCTTCCAAGGGGAGCTCTCAACACATACCCTATATAATAAAGGCAGCGGCAGCTCCCTGGACCTCAACACCAGAAGGAAATCCAATGAAACAAGCAAAAAGTAATTTACCTGCATTTGTGACAGAATCAGATAAGCTCCGAGCCGGCGCGCCGAGGGGTCTTTCGGCTGGCTCTCGGCTCCCGCCGCCAGCGACTTTATAATAGGAACGAATATCCCGCCGGCGCGCGCCGTGGAGCTCGGCATGCCGGGAGAAATGGCGAGCTCTCCCAGGACGAGTCCGTACGACAGGCCGAGAGTGCTCTTCCCGAGCCACCGGACGAACACCATCGCCACCCGGTCGCCGAGCCCGGTCTTCACGAACCCCCGGGAGAGGAAGAACGCCGCCACCACTAGCCATATCACCTCGTTCGTGAAGGCGGAGAAGGCGGCGGCGAAGCTTAGGGTTTTGGTGACGACGGTGACGGTCACGCAGACGAAGGCCCACGCGCCGACGGGGAGGGGGCCGAGGATGAGGCCGGCCACGGTGGCGACGAAGATGGAGAGGAGGGACCAGGCTTTTGGGGTGACGTGGCCCGGTTTGGGGACGCCGAACCGGAGGATTAAGCCGACCGCGGCGCAGATTAGCAGCGCCGCCGGACGGGCGCCGTTCCAGGCGGCGAGGCAGCGGCGGACGGCGGAGATGTGGGTGGGGAGGCCGGCGGCGGGGGGAGGGGGAGGAGACATTATTTTATTATTATATTATTATATTTTGGAAGTGGAGTGGGCACAGAAGGAAAGAGAGAATGATATAATGGATGGAATGAATGGCTAAGTTTAATTTATACAAAAATTTTTGAAAATTTGAAAATATATGTTTAATATGATATTTCTGATAGTAACAAAATTTTCAAAATTGGTATGTGAAAAGAGGCTAAGTATGTATAAAGATGAGACCTTCAAGTTTAAAGTTTTATAGGATTTATCCAATCCCACACGCATAATGTAAAAATACATTTTGTGTGTACGAATATAAAATGTATCCATATGTATGTGCATGGCAATAGGGTGTCCATTCGTGTTTTCGCGTCCTATTCGGTAACAAAAAAATCGTAAATTTGAATTCGAAATTTGACCTGAAATCCTAAACCCGAACACGACATAAATTTTTTTAGGTCGGATTCAGGTCCCTAAATCCAAACAAAACCGATACGAATCCAATACAAAACAAACTCGAAAATTTTTAAAAAATTAAATGAATCTTAAAAAAATCATTTTTATTTTAATTTTTATATTATTTTAAATAATAATTATAATAAATAATTTCAGGTCCACCCGAAACACGACCTAATTTTTATATTTCGGGTTATCAAGTCAACCCGAAACACAACACGAATTTTTTTGTTTCAGGTTCGGATCGACCCGATTTTTTGCAAATCCGAAATACTCAAACTCGAACATGAAAAATTTCAGGCCGAACAGGTTTGATTTTTCAGGTCGGGTTTAATTTTGACACCCTGCATGACACGAATCCTCAGCCCCTTCCATTGCCAGAATCAAATCATCTGTTTTAAACTTTTTTATATTTCTCTGTTCCAATCAATAAAATGATTACAAGTTGTATTAATAAATAAGAGAAAGAATAGCTTAGGATTTAGTTAGATTTAGAAATATTTTTTAAATTCAATTTCTATTATTTTGCATATTCAATTTTTTTAAAAAAATTACAAAAATAAAGCAAATATTATATCTAATTTTTAATGTTATTTTTTTTTTCATGCTACTTTACCATTTCTGTAAAAATTAATTATTTTTATACAAAATATTACATGCAAAACTATATAAAAAATTAAATACATTCACTTTTTATAAAATACTTTGAGGATATATATTTTTACATTTTTTCATTTCTTTTTTTTTTACATATTTAGAATATTTTGTTAAAAAAAATAGTAAAATAGCATAATAAAATTATATATCACGTTAGCATAAAATTTTATTTTGTTAGTTTCGTATTTTGTATAGATTACTAAGGACCAAATGTTTTTTTAGTAGAAACATTTTAATAAAAGTATAAATTATTTTACATCAATTTGTATCATAAACAAAGCAATACTAATATTAAAAAAAAAAAAAAAAAAAAATCATGCCAAAAATAAATGACATTCTTACTATGGAAAGGAGAGAGTATAAAAATATAGACCTTTATAATATTGGATGAAAATAAATTGAAATATATATTTTTTAAGAATTTACTTTGTATTAGTTTTTCTATAAAATGTTGAGTGTGATATTCTGTAAAATATTTATACAAATATATATATAATAAAAAAAATAAATAAAAATTAAAATAGGATATAAATTTTATTTTATTTTAAATTTTAAAATAAATGAAAAGATTAAATAATCAAAATAGAATTCAAAAAATATATCTAAATTTAATTAATTATTATATATATTTAATATATTTCTTTCTTATTTATTGTTACAATTGTAATCCTCTTATTAAATAGAATAGGGGAAGACAGAAAAATTGGCACATAGAATTTGATATCTCGGTTGTCAGGCGCTTATTCTCTTAGTCTTCTCTAATACAGTGTAAATATATATACACATAGCAGAGGGGTCTCTACTTTTTCAGGGCTCTGAACAAAATTAAATGATAAGTGCTATGAATAAATATTTTTTTTTCAAAATATTATCAACAAATAATATAATAATAAATTTTACAAAAATAAAAATTATATTAATCATATATACAATAAATAAAATATATATGTCCCGTCAGGGATAGACCGACGGAGCTAGCTAGTTTGTAATACATATCTTAACTATTATAAAATTTTACAATATTTTGAGTATTATAAAACCAATAATTCAATAATAATAAGTACAAATTCTAAATGCGAATATAAAATTAGAATTAGAATTAGAATTTAATAATAATATATGAAATTAGAATTTAATTTTAGAATTGAAATTAAATTAGTTAATTGTTGAGAAAATTATGGGATAAAGTTTAAAATAAATTTTAATACTATATCTAAAAATAGCTGAAATTTAAAAATAAGAGCCCTTCTTATAAAATAGGGGTCCTGAGCAAATTGCTCATATTACTCCTGCTAAGAGCCGGCTCTAATACATAATACTTCATCTATCTCATAACAAAGTATTCATTTTTCTATTTTAGTCCATCCCATAACAAAGTATCAATTTCCTTTTTGAGTAACTGTAATATCTACCTAATATTACAAATACCCTTACAACTTACAATATATTACACAAATGTCATTACTTTTATATCACATATACTAATAAGGTTATTTTAGTCATTTCTATTTTATTCCTACTATATTCTAATATAATACTAATATTTCTAAAACTACGTGTAAAAAATAAATGAATATTTAGTTTCGGGACGGAGGGAGTGCATAATATGTATATATATATATATATCTATATTATATTTACATATTGTGTATTATATATATTGTGTTTATACACACTATATAAAACCATGCTAGGCTGATTTGTTTTGATCTTATCAAGACCTAAGAAATTTCTACACCCATACAACGCAAATACACACTGATGGGCTCAGTGTGCTTTTAGTACGTTTGGTTTGCGTTTGTAAGAACATTCGCAATGGAGATAACTATATCCATATTTGAATATCTTTATTATTTTTTTTATTTTTTTTTACATTATTTTTTCTTTATGTTATATCAGCTGACATATTCTTCTTTCTTTTACATCCAAATTTTTATTTCTATATTTAAATATATACATATATTCTTTTATTTTTTAATATAATTTTATAATATTTAATTAAGTTACAAATTACTATAATTATAAAAAGAAAAGGATGGCCCACAAGTAAAAGCAAGAAACGGTCTCCATGCGGTGTGCGCTTCTTGTGTCAGAAATGTTTTTCTTTTTTTTAAAAAACAAAAATATTGACGTGGAAACACCCCGTTGTGATGGCATATATATGAGTATTTTTTATTTTTATTATTGATAATTATTTGAATATATGCGGAAAATAAAAATTGTATATTAATCGAAAAAGAGAATGCATATACATAGACATATATATGTGGGCCCCAAAAGACAATATATAAAAATATGCTAACACCCTCCCTTAAACTCAAGGTGGTAAAGTAGAAATCAATTTGAGTTTGCTCAACGACGTGGAGAACCTGCTTGAAAAGGGAGACTTTGTGAATATATCTGAAGTCTGATCCTCGGAATAGACAGAAGATAGATGAACAGTGCCTGCACGAACATGCTGATGAACAAAGTAACAATCAATCTCAATATGCTTGGTATGCTCGTGAAAGACATTATTATGAGATATTTGAATTGCGAGAACTTATGCTCCCAAAAAGTAACATCCCGAGAGATACGTAGACGATTCGACACAGGATCCCAACATCGACAACCTTTATGTTCTATCCCATACCCAAGAAAACAACACAGACGGGTGTGTGGTTCTAATTTGTTACGTTCATAAGGAGGAAGATGAACAAAGCTGACACAACTAAAATGATAAAGATGGAATAATCAGGTACCTGGCAGAAGAGCCTCTCAAAAGGTGTGGTATCCTAAAGGACAGGGGAGGATAATCGGTTAATATTATAAATAGTAGTAAGAGCAGCCTCGCCCCAAAACCGATATGGACAATTGGCAGATAACAACATGGCTCGAACTGTGTCTAAAATATGATGATGCTAGCGCTCTGCCCTACCATTTTGTTGAGATGTGTAGGGACAAGAACGCTGGACAAGAGTACCTTGGGTGGACAGGAAACTAAGAAAGGTAGAATCATTATATTCGAGGGCATTGTCAGTGCGAAGAGTCTAAATAGGACACGAGAACTGAGTTTGCACTATTTTAGCGAATGCAGAGTAAATGGAAGTAAGTTCAGACCGTTTACGCATAAAGTAAATCCAAGTAAAGCGAGAGTAATCATCAATAAAAAACACAAAGTAACGAAACCCAATAAGAGTAGCAACAGGAGAGGGTCCCCAAATGTCAGAATGTACTAACGAAAAAGGTTTATCAGCAATAGACAAGTTATTCAAAAAATGTAAAGTTGGTTGTTTTCCAAGTTTACAATGCAAGCAATCAAAAGACTCAAAACAAACTGTGCCTAAAAACCTGTATTTGCAAGAGATTTGAGTTTAGATAGGGAGGCATGACCAAGTCTGAGGTGCCAGTAATAGGAAAAGGAATAAGAGACTGCAACGGAAAGATATGGTGTTTGGCGAGGGCAAATGTAGTCAAACTCAAATAGGGGGCCTATCTTGCAACCCGTCCCAAGTATTTGACCCATCTGCGTGTCGTGAACCTGCACACCAGAAGAAGAAAAAATTACAGTAAAATCCTGCTCAACCAACTGACCGACAGACGCAAGGTTTATGGCTACTTTGGGAATGACATAAACATCATCGAGGTAGGGGTACGATATATGGTCAGTATGGATAATGCACATAGGGTGCCATCAGCGGTAAGTATAGGATGGGATGAGGTGACGGGTTGGGAGAAATGTAAAAGGCAAGGGTCAGGTGTCATGTGGTTACAACAGGCAGAATCAATATATCATTTGTTGTTACCTGATGTCGAGGCTAATGAAAGATGAATTGATAAAACCTGAGTGAGCATGTTACGTAGGTCCTCAAGAGCGGGAGGCGATTGAAGCGACTGTGATACGCTAGTGGCAGCAACAATGGCAGAAGAAGAGCCTGAAGAAACCAGCCTTGGGATTCTTGGGACAATGCATACGGATGTGGTCTTTCTGATGACAGTA